GAGAAGGAGAAGGAGAAGGAGAAGGAGAAGGAGAAGGAGAAGGAGAAGGAGAAGGAGATGACTGTGATTTTATTATAGCTGACCACTTTAAAAGACTCTGTTGTTATTGTTTTGTGAACTAGCCAGAGTTGGAACGCCTAAGACGATCAGTCATCCAAGTCTTTTTAAAAAATCAAATCAAATCTCAGCGTGGCGCTCCTGGGTGCATTTGTGGCATTAGGGAAGATTTCTGATGTGATATGAAGAACCTGTTTAGCCTGTGGGTAAGGGGTAACTGTTTTTAATTGTTGCCTTTATTGCTGTATTTCAATCCTGCAAGTAGCGAACACTAATGTAGAATGACAAGCAGTTAACCTTCCTGCAATGCTTTTTCTCGGATACACCACCGTATTTACTTGGAAGGGTTTTAATTTTTCATGGACACATCAGGGAGTTCAGATATAGCCTATTTTGCCTTTGTCTTGAAGCATCGTAGTCCACTTGGCAATTTCAGGATTGCCCCACTAGATCGAGCATCAAGCAAGTACAGTTCAGTGAGAGAGAGTTAGCCCTTACATCAGTCTAACCCCTCATTACAGCAAGAGGGCAAAAATGCTCATTTTATCTTTTGAAAAGGTAGCCATTTTCAATAACTTTTTTTTTAAGTCTTCCCCGCACTTGTCTTGTTTCGGAAGGCTTGGTTTCCACGGCAGGTGCTTTGAAGGAATCTGGTATTTCATTCTAGTTTACGTTACGGCAGGAATTGATTTTGAAAATTGAGGAAATTAAGTGTGAGCAAATAATGACGTTTGAGGAACAGCTCAACTGTAACGAAGACTTTCCGGGATACAGCCTGCTGTGCATGCTCTGCCTTTGCTCGTTTCTCTTAATTGTAGCAAATGCAGGGAGCAGGGAGGCGCTGAGTCCATTCCAAAGAAGCCCAGGAAAATTTATTTTAATGATCGGGTGTTCACGCAAAGGCAGCTGTCACACAGAGTGTTGTCTCTGTGGTTGAGAGCTGGAACCGTTCTGCCTAATGCGCCTGTGTGCCGAGAATGCCCAGCTCTTTCAATTTAAAGAGGAGATGAATAATAATAAATAGTAATAAACTGAAAGGAGGAAAAAAGAGAGAGAGAGAGAGAGAGGGAGAGGGAGAGAGATTTGCCTTGCATGAATTTTTAATGAACGAAGGTTAAGTAAAGTGTGAGGCTGTCAGGTTTACTTTGAGGAAGTGGGTGGAATGGATGAACAAGGCAGGGAGCAGCAATCCAAAGGCCAACAAGAGATGGTTGACTTTTTCCTTTTAATTGGGAAGAATTAAGTGAGATGTACTTGCCTATTACCAAGAGGAAAGATGATAGGGTTAGGAATTTTTCTGAGGGGTGACAGGCTATTGAACATCATCACAATTGCCATCATCACCACCACCACCACCACCACCACCACCATCTCCATCACTTCATTTGGGCAGATCTTTGCATTTTCTGAAACGCACAGCACGTTCAGCTCCAAAGAGTTGAACTTCACCCTCATGAGCAAATGGAAGGGACCTAAGAGCAAAACGCTTCACTTGAAAACTAGCCACGGCTATGCTGGAATGGAGGAATTCAGATATAATAATAGGAAAGAACTATTTCTCTGTAGAGATACCTCTTTCCCCATCTTGTCCTACCCAGTTCTTGTCATTTTCTTTTTAAAAATGGCAAAAGATCATCTTGGTTGATCTTCCACAGTCTGAACAGGTTGTGCCACTGCTAAATTTCAGGTTTAGCATTTCATTTGTTAGGCTTTTGTATAAACCATACCCAGGGTTTGTTTGTGTGTGTGTGTGTGTATATATATTTGCATACTGTCTCTACTGTCTAGGGAGAATGAAAATAGCATTTCTTTCCTGGCTTCTTATTCTCATTTATTTATTATGACATTTTGGTCTCTCTCAGTGCCACAGGCAGAGGGGTGTCTCATAGAATCATTGTGTTGGAAAGGACCTTGGGGGACCAACCCCATCCTGGGCAGATATCCTCCTATCAACCCAAACAAAGGGCTGTCCAACGTTGGCTTGGAAACCCCCAGTGATGGAAAACTCACAGTTACAAGAAGCAGACTGTTCCACAGCTTAATAGTTCTGACAGGCTGGAAACTCCCCTTTATTTCAAGGTTGGAGCTCCTTCTGTAAAGATTCCACCCATTGGTTCCTTTCTCCCCTCCAGGGCCCATGGAGAATAGATCCACACCCCCTCTTCCCTGTGACAGCCCTTCATGTACAGCTTTCACCTTTCCTCTTACTTTTTTCTTCTTTAGGCTAAACATACCTGTTCCTATAACTGTCATTTGCTGTACTGTGGCAACCAGAATGCCTCAATTTCCCCCCACAACAAGAAGCTGATAAAGAAAAATCAAGCCAAAAATCAGAAAAAAACTTTGGATGGAAGTTGTAGCCCCGCCCCGAAGGTGCCATTATCCTACCTATTCCGCCCTCCCGCAGACTGAGACTTGAACCTAGTCATCCGAAAGATCCCTCCCCTTAACCTTAAAGAATCTTCTCACTTAACATTGTTTCCCAATTGTGGTGGATGATTTCGACCTGCCCTTGGATTAGAGCCCCCATTTTGGCCATCCTGTGCTTCAGAAAGCCCTTTTATCGGGATAACACACTCAACAGAAGCTTCACGTTGGTCTCTTGGGAACTGCATTATTGCCTCATAAACCAACATTGCCATCCCATTATGGCCTAATTAATACCGCAGGGGTTTGGGTTCACTCATGTCCAGTGATACGTTCCATGTGCCGTATAGCTGAGATAAGCAGGTTTGGCTTTGATTTGAGACTTCCAGCAGATTCCTCCCATTTTATTTTGTTTTATTTGCAAGGATAGCAAAACAGAAGCCAGATTTATTTGTAAGGGTTCCCGTTCTTCTCTTCTTTCTCCAATTTGCAGTGATTTTTAATGACAAATTAGGGGAGCTTGTAATTTTCCATGCTGTTGTAGATTTCTCGCTTTCTCTCTCTGATTGCAAAGCTGTCCAGGGACATTTTGGAAGATAGGAATTCTGGCTTTGATCTGTACTTGTATCTAGTCTTTAAAACAAGACCCTTTAAAGGAGAATTAGGTATTCCCAATCTGTTACACAGGCGTAAGTTTCCTTTCACCCTCTCCTCCCTCCTGAGATGAGAGGCATTGAATAGTATTTCAGCGTGAAGCAAATGAGATGGAAAATGAAGAAGAAAAAAAATCCAATTCCCATCCTCTTCCCCTTCCTTCTTCCTGTGCCGAAGCCTGGCAGATTGCTAAAATGTGGCATTTCATTTCAAGATGTCAAAGTAAAACAGCTGATTCAATAATTAAAAGCGCCATGCCATTTTGTGCAACCCTTTCAATGAGGTCATTCAATCAGATCACCTTTCAATAGATTAGCTCATCAAAGGTTTGGGTAGCCCTAATACTTTGCACCAAAAAGTATAACACCGACGATCAAGATGAGCATATCCCCCCAACCCCTGGGCATCTTAGCTAAAAGAAGAAAAAAAGTAGGACGAAAATATCCTCTGCATATCTCAAGGCCTTTCATAAGACATGTGAGAAGTTCTTCAGCTCTAAATAAGTTTCCCAGCATCAGTTCCGTAGTTCTTTATTTGATCCCAGCATAGAATTGTAAGTCTGTAAAGGAAACCCTGGAAAACAGGTGTCACCGGAGCATCTGTTTAAGCACTGATTTATTGATATAATTTCTCTGCTTCTGGCAGCATGCAAGACAGGCTGGAATCAGTAAGTCTTTCCTTGGCTGTTGAGTTCTTTCCCCACCTCTTCAGATGACTTGATCAGAAATAGAACACCCACCCACCCATTCAGGTTTGCTCCATGTTTCTACACACTTTTCTAGCCTGTTCACGATCGTAAAGGCTGCTAGAAAGCTCTGTGGGTCTTCCTTCAAAGCAGAAATGGAATAAACACTAGATGTAGTTCAGTACTCTTGTACACTATTAAGAGTAATTCAGTGACACATACTTCTTCTTTTTTGGGGGGGGGGCAAGTGTGTGGCATCCTTACTCTTGAACAAAGCAGAAGAAGCATGACAACAACAATTAGACAACCATGTTTTTGAGCAGCTTCACCTGGTAGTTTTCAAGTTGGGTTGGAAAGGATGCTGTGTGTAAGAGAGGTATCCAGGTATAATGTTTTCATTTTCCTCCAAGGTGGGACGGTGGCATACAGTCTGTGCTCCTTCAGAGGAGGCTGAAGTATAGTTCCCAGCATATTCAGCTAGCATGGCTGATAGACAAGGATGATGGGGTGCTGAGCAGCATATAGGGTTGGCCCACCTCACCCTCATTCTA